TTATTTACTTAAAACGATTTCAACAAAATTAACAGATAATTACAAGAAATAATTAAACATCGGATACATCAGGTTAATATATCTTAAAAAGTTTAATCATTATAAATTAATGTTTCAAAATTTATTTCGTAATAATTTTCTTAATAAGTTTACATATAGAAAATAATATATTCATATTACTATTTTTAAATAAATCACTATTTTTTCACATTCATTATTTTTAAATAAATAAAATACAAAAAAATTTAAAATAGGTAAAATAGGTTTTTTCAAGATTTTATCTTGGATTAAGTTAGTAATTTTCTAATGTATGCTAATGAAAATCATGTTTTTTAGTGTAAAAAATAGTATAGGATTATTAGTTATATCATAATGAATATAATTCATATTATAAATCCATCTCTTAAATTCATTAACTCAGGTAGTGATTCAGAGTTTCAAAATATCACCAGCTATACGTAAAGTTTATATCGAAATGTTATAGTTTATACTTGGTCGATTTTTGTACAACTTTCATTGTATGCTAGTATTTACTGCAGCAATTAGTGTCAGTCTTCCTTTTAATTTTACGTATCCGTATAAATGTCACATATGCAAGAAGAGAAAAAGCATAACTACTTTGATTGATCCCAAAACGAATATCTACTATGCATCGCGTGCATAATGCAACGAAAAGGAAATATACAATGTAAGCCTTGGAGTTTGCATGGCATTTGATCATTCAACACGGCCTTAACACGCAAAATTAGAGACAGAAGGGCAAATTTCTTTTCACGAGCACCTTTTTATGATCCTCTCAAAAATCCTCGATCGTTTCTTAATTCCGGACGCATATATCGTTCTGAAGACGAAAGATTTGCACAGAAAGATTTTCTGTGCAAATCTGTGCATTAATCCTAATGGAATTGAGGTCACATCTGCTTCTTGCACACATCTTTTTTTTCACACTGAATCGTCTTTAACGCGCGCATTTGCATGCAATTATTTTTGTAATCGAGGCCGCCACAAAAACCTGACGAAAAACTTTGATGACAATATTCAGCATGAAATGTTTATTCGGACAAAGCGATGAGAAGGTTTGTCGATACGATATCTATAATTGCCAGCGAAAAAGAATTGAATGACGATCTTTTTGTAAGATAAATTAAGATAAATTCCCTCGAATGCTCTTCGCAATACGATAAATTCATTTGATGTCACCCACATGTTGGAATGAGGCCAAACATCTAATTTGGAACAAGGCAGTTCTCGGTACGGTATGTACGGAAAATTCATTTATTTGTGTACACTTTCCGTTGTATTTAGCCACTAATATTCGAAAAAAATTATGTAATTATCGCAAGCACAATCCCTTTGATCTACTTAAATTTATGATTATGCTTTTTTAATCTTTTGAAACGTTTGAATAAAAAGATCAATAATATAATCGTTAATCGTTCCAATGCAAATACAAATCTTGTTAAAGTTTTAAAAATAATATATACATACACATGTGATATATATGTGACATATAAATTATATGATATTGTACGTATATATATATATATATATATATATATATATATATATATATATAATGTAAATTTATGGATGACAAGAACAAGAAACGTGACAGTTGATATCAGAAAATGTTTCTTCTCTACTCCATATTAATCGTGACTTTTTTTAATACATCGGATTATGCTTGAGATAGCTTGTTTCAGAAATATTTCCAACGCGAAAATTGCTTACTTATCGCAGTGCATATTCGTATTTGACGCATAAGCACATTTCATATAATATTATTTCGAGCTTTAAAAAATAAGACGCATTAAAAAATTACTTATTAAGATGCGATTGATTGCATCATCTCCTGTCTGAAGCTACATGCGTCATTATGAGGACTATTAGCATCCAAAAATATCTTTAAATGAAAATATCTTTAAATGAAAAATTTAGTATTTATTAAAATTTCTTAAAAAAAATTCATTAATGTTTTTAGATATCTCTTCACAAAATTTTATATTAAATAAAATAAAACGTAAAAGTTGAGAATAATAAGTTATATAAGTTAGATTATTATATCCTTTTATTTATTATTATATCCTTGATCGCGATACGGTTTGTATTATTAATCTAGAGAATAAAGTGTAAATTAATAATGTTATTAGGCTAGATTTGATTTCAGTAATTAAAATATCATCAAACATTTCTATGTTCGTCGCGTTGAAATATCCAGAGATTTTTAGAATTAGATGTTCGCGTAAATCAATAGTACCTAACAATATCCTTGCTAACTTAAGCATGAGTATTCAGTTACATTTGAAGGTTTTTACTGCAAGTGGTAAGATAATTTAGAAAAGAACTCTACGTGTGCGAGTGATATCATAGCTTCGAGTGACCTCAGCTTACCAAAGATCACACTATTCTATTAACCGAATCCAGTTACCATCATTCTCTTTAGGTCAATCGCATTGATGCTACTTAATTATGCTTATTTATTCTGTCGTAAGAAAAGCCAAAAACATTTTGTGTTTTTAAACGTAATTAAACGTAATGGACTAAGGTTACAAATTCTTCTCTCTTCTTTCTTTACGTTTACTTTAATTTTAAAAATACTGTTAATTGACATCTTGATGAGAGACAAATTTTAATCATCGCTTTTTGTTTTTCAACAATTTTCAGCTATTTTTAGAAAAAGATAAGCTATAGCTAAACGAATAAGTTTTAAGAAGATTTAAAAAAATGTATGTATGTTATAATTATTATCACAATACTTAAATTATTTATTATTAAACAGAAAAAAGTTTTTTGTTATACTTTTATTATTATTTTAATAAATTTAATTGACACATAAAATTTATTAATATTGAATACAAATTAATAATTAATAATTTTTATAATATTTTTTACATTAATTTTTACATTAATATTACTTTTATTCTACTAGTCATATCCATATCCTTTTCGAAATTTTATGCATATTCATTCTTTATTTCATCTAAAAAATTTACTCTATCAAGCAAATGTAACATTTTGTATAAAAATTTAAAAAGAGTTCGAAAAAAGTAAATAATTTTACTAAAATTTGCTACATGAAAATTGCAAGACTCATCATGCGTTATCGTTTGTATCGTATGTATGATGATCATTATAATGTATCCTTTATCATATCAGTTAATTATCTTGACGAGTTTGCATTAAATATATACGATCAGAGGATTTTTAAATCCGCTAAAAACAGTTATCGCTAAGTCATTGAGGACAAATTCGTAATTAGTTAACCTAGATCAGCCTGTATAGGTAACTTGCGTATGCAAGGACATAATCTATAGAAGGAAAGAAACCGATCCTCGTGTGGATTCGACAAAAAAATCGCAAAAACACAGACGAATTGCGGACGACCGAATGCAGCCACGCTCTCAGGATGTGCAACAAAGAAAAGTGGGTTTATGAGTCACCTACCTGTTGTTTTTCAGCACGCGTCACTATTTATGGTATCGTCTCGTAAATTTTGTTTTATGAATTCGTTCGGATTTTACAAGTGCAACATTCTTTTATAATGCACAGAAGATACGAAAAGAATGCAGAAGGAAAATAATGTTAGATACTGCCAAGTATGGGTTTTTAAATTGAAGACAATCTATATAATTATACATATGTATTTATCTTGATGACTAACGTATAACTTCCATTTGCAATATTTTTTATTAAAAGTAAAAAGATACCAAGATTATAAAAAGAACTAGTTAAATTTATATTATCATGTATCCAACTAAATTTCATCTGTAATCGTATATAATGAGGTACTACGTCAAGTCTTATCTAACTTGATATAAACGTAATTATTCGTTATATAAACTGCGTAAGATTCCACAAGGCGAATTAAGTTGATAATAATGAAACATTGAAGTTGTACAACAAATCTATAACGCTTCGAAGAGACGAGAGGAGAGAAAGGGAAAAAAAGAGAGCGAGATAGATGGAAGAAGAAAGGACGCTTCTATAGGTAGCAAGGTCATTGCAAGGATTCTCGGGGTCATTTACATGATGCGGTTATACCGCTTGTTAAAGAGCGATTGCGTTTTCCTTTCAACGGATCTTGCCCACCAACATGACCGTGACGAGATGCGGTTATTTCTGATTTTTCAGAACATTCATTTCAAGCGAAGAAAAATAATGTTCCAGAGATACGCGCCGCGTGCACTGCCAAATATTATTTTTAAGTCTGATTGTTGCATGCAGTTTGAGACATTCGGGATTTACGTCACAAGATCGATTATTTTTTG